CCACCCCTGGGAAACGGAGGATCGCGGCCGCGCGCGGGCCCACGGGCGCCGAGGGTGGTGCTTCCGCTGAGACTCTGGTCGCGAGGCCAATCTCGGAAGGTCATAGAAGAGCCGGGCAGAGCGGAGCGGCCCAGCCGGTGCAAATCGTCCAGAAAGGACGGCCGTGCGTGGGCGGCCTGCGGGCAGGAGAGCGGCTCCCAGACCGTGTCTGTGCGCACTGCAAACATCGCCTGGAGGAGACGAAAACCTGGGGCCGTGTTTTAGCCGCCTCTGCAACTACAGTGCACAGGAAAACCAGCCTCTCCACCTGGGGCTGGGAGTAGGGAAGGCGATTGCTTAGGGTTGAGATTTTACGAGTTACCTAAACTGCTCCCAAGGCCGGGGCGCTGCCGCTCAGGTCGCGTTCTTCCTCCCTGGCGCAGAGCTAGCTCAGCCCGAAAGGGCCCACGGGGGCATTCTGAGAATATCCTGGAGCCATCTAGTCTTGCCTCCAAGGCGTGGTGGGCTTATTTGTGCAGAGAAGAAACGGATCCCTTAATGGGGTGAGATTTTTCCTCCGTGCATTGTTCCCATTTCCGCAGTTGCACTTGGCCTCGGTTTTCCTTCAGAGTAATGCAGCAAATGAAATTAGCTGGAAGAGTGTTTGATGGCGCAGAATCGTGATTTGATGTTTACGCTCTGTGCCGGACGTGTTTGATGGTGTTCTCTTTGGCGCAATTAATTCTGCAAAGTTCAGAAATGTGCCAGATAGAGCCCCTGGCACGCAGAGTGAAGGCTCTGCAGACACACCTTCAATAGGAAGCCAGCTTGTTTCATTTGTGATTTATCTGAAGCACCAGCAGCACCGAGGCCGACGTGTTTTGATAGAGAGGACTTTGGGTAAAATTCCAAAGCAATTTATAAATTGGCAAAATGAGGATTATTTTCTAAAATAACTTTTTCCTGCTGATAACGTAACTTTAAAATAGGCTACAAAACGCCTGAAAGTACATTGATTGAAAAGTAGACCAAAAACATATGTTTCACTGCAAGGTATCGTCCCTACTAGTGTCCTAATGGCTAGCTCCATCTATGTTCTTATTTCGAACGCTAAAACTAATACTAAATGCTTTCTGTTATCTTTAAGGCTTGTTTGGAAAACTATATTTTGTGTATTTGAAACATCTTTCAAGGTATATCCCCCCCCTTCTTTTGATGGTTTGGGAAATTTATCACTATTCATATTGGAGAATCTTGTAACTCTTTCCCGTTAGGCATGGTAACCCAAGGCCAACAGCACTTCAAGGAG